TTACCTAGTACATACAACTCACAAAACTTCATTTCACTTGATGAAGTGATACTCAACCCCTTCACCATCTCTTTGCATGGAGTTCCTGTGGCCAAGCCTTATCTGGAAATCCACTGCTTTCCTTGGTCCTACAAAGAAAGCTCACTCTAGCTACATCACTTTAGCATTCAGATGATACAACCCCTCCCACACACAATTGCAGTGCCTATTGAGCCTGCAATCATGCATATCTACTTCTTGAAAGTGATGTAATCTACTATTTTCCCACTGAAAATAGTGTCTTATTTACCCTAAGAACATAGTAAACATTGTGTACACTCAAGCTTCCATCAGGGTAGATTGTGATGTCGACCGTGCTAACTCCGTGTGAGTAATCATCCCCTAGAAAAATCCATTTTTTTTCCTAGAACTGATCTAAGAGATCATGTGTTTGTTTGCCCCTAAATCAAGCCATATGACCTCTGCCTCGTCCTGGAAGCTAGTGGCCAGATGCTTGTGGCCATGAAAAAGTTGCCATCCTTTGCCATGTTAGCAAAGTTGGCAGACTTTCTCCTACCGGCCACTCTCTATACCTCGGCTTTTCTTGCCTCCTTTGCTCTCTTGGCTTCCTCGTCTGTGCAATCTCTTGCCTAGTGTCCTGGCTTCTTGCAAATGTTGCATAGGTTGTTCTTTTTCTTCTTCTTGAACTTCTTACTGTTCTCGCCTTAGTCATTTCTTGGTCTTAATCTGTTCCACACTATAATTGATTGTTTCCGCTTCCTAGCAAAGAGTGCTAACTCTTTCTCCTTTGAGCTTGCTTGCCTAGACTTGAAAAAGCCCTCCAACGCAGTGAGATATACTATAACTTCTATAAAAGTGTTGCTGGAACTTGATGTGACATTGCCAGCTGCATCGATCCATTCAATCCCTGGAAAAAGGTTGTGAGCATCTCATCATCATCAAACTCCTTCATCTGGATTGCATCGATCTATCCACAAGTGCACTGGCAAAATGACTCACTGATTCTGCCTCGCTCTACTTACAGCTGTTGAGCTGGAGTTTGAGGTCCAGCAATCTTGCTTTCCTGGTCTTGCCAAGGATCAAGCATACAGCATCTCAATTCTCTTTCGCCATTCTGTTGATATCCAAATAGCTTCAGTACCTTGTCCTAGAACCCCCAACACCTTGCTATTCTTCACCTCTCACTCCTTTTTCTGATTTGTATCATCGTCTCCTGGCTTGAGATCGCTCTAGATCACTCCCCAAAGATCCTTTTTCAAGACTTTCCATGACTGGAAATCCTTTCCATCAAACACTTCCAAGGACAAGGTGGGCAATAAGTGAGAGCTAATCTATCTCTAATACCATGCAAAGACAAGAAAAAACAAAGCAAACTGGGCAGTGACAGGCTATATAAAAAAAGTGGAAGAGACAAAGCTACCTTGAGTGATACTAGAACATTCCCTCAATATGCCTTACATGGAGATTTGATACTTTCGAAGTTTACAAGGCTTGGAATGTGTAGCATTGGAGGAGGTGTCAATTGACCTTTTGAGAAAGGGAGTGTGCTTCGTCATTGCAAGTAGTGGTGATCATCATTATGACTGCCAACAAGAAATCCCTTGACATCCAGATAAGCGTTTTAAGTTGGAATATGAAGAAGTCATGGATTCATAGAACTTGTGGAAGGGGGTGACAATGAAGAAATGGTCCTTGTCAACGTCTGCAAATGTCTTCAATGTCGTATATTCATTTCCCAGGTTGGCTCCTTCAGTGTTGGTGACAACGTAAAGGCAAGGCTGGGTCTCATCAATCACATCCCAGGTGGCTCGACTGGCTGAACTTGCTTCAATGCAACTATCTGATTGCAAGGAACATCAACCTAGCCTTCATCGACACATCTGTTATTCCTGAGTCTTTTGTCTGATCTATTACTGGATAATCCATCAGATTGCTAGAAATTATCTTCTCTATAAGCTTGTCTTGCTTCCTTGCAACTCGTTTTCTCAGTGCGCATGGAGCTTGGAACATAATATGAGAAGATTTAAAATTTAATAATAAATCTGATCTATTGTTTACTTCTAATTTAATATAAATTTTGTTATTGTTTTTTCTTACCAAGAGTACAATATTTAGTAGTGTTTGGAAAGGCTTCCGAGCAACGAGTGTATCAATGAAGGCTAGACATTTATCAATGTTCTTCTATGTCAGATGTTAAGTGAAGTCTCGACTCCTTGTGGTACAGGATGGACGGGACCATTCTTTTGTATGAATCCATGACTTTCTTC